GGCCCGTTGCCCACCCCCCCCCACTCGCCGCATCCCGAAATGCCCCCGCCTTGGGCACCTCATGAGCACCTTCCACGTGTCCCACCCCAGCTGTGTTCCAGCGAGCACCCCCTCCCCAAAACACCCCATGACCCCCCCACAGTCCCCTGTGCCTCATTGCCTTTGAGGGGGCAACAACCCAACACGTTTTTGCTTTGCCCTGGTGCTCTCTGTAGCATCAGACTGACCCCGGGTGTCAGCAGAGATTCTCCTGTGTGGAGGAGGGGGCTCCAAGCTCCAGCAGGAGCGGGCACGAGGCACTTTTGTGAGCTGCGGGGACAGCCTTGTCCCCAGCCCAATACACACAAATTGGGGGATGTCCCCCCCGTGTCCCTTCCCAACCTGGGGACACAGTGCCGTAGAGGATGACAGTGCTGACAAGGTACCCCCAGAGGTACCCAGAGGTGTGTTAGGCTGAGGGGTCCTGCACACATCGGGGGGGCTGTGCTGGAGGCTCCCAGGGCACTCATGGGTTCCACCGGTTGGGTCTGTCCCCAACCCACGACAGGACAATGGGACAATCAGGGTGGCACCACTGCTGTCAGCTGCAAAATCCCAGCCTGGAGGCATGCAGTGCCTCTGTTAATTGCTGTGCTAAACGACGGGTAAATGACAACAATCACCAGCGCTCTGCGCTTTGCTGACTTGCTCAATTTTAATGTGCCCGTTGCCAACCTCTGGAGCTCCCTGCTTCTTTGCTGGGTCCAGCGAGCACAGCGACATTACCCCCCGCCCCCCCCTCCCACTCCCATCATACACAGTGCAGCTCCACAGTGGCGATGGCTGCTGCTGGCAGAAGCTCTGCTCGTGATGAGACACCGACTGATGCCACCACCCCACTCACTGCTTGGGATGGCTGTCCCCGAGCAGTGCTGGCTCTGCCCCCGCTGACACTGTGTGTACAGCATCCTGCAGCGTGTAGAATGTCTGCAAGAGGTCCGGCGAGGTGGCTCGGCACTCCAGGAACCGCCGCAGCGTGGCCAGGCTGTCCCACACCTCAGGCTCTGAGGGGCACGGCTGCACTGCCACTGGCTCCCCAGAGTCCTCACCCTCCTCCATACCCCTGTCCCAGTCCTCTGCCTCGGCCGTGTCAGCATCCGCAAGGCGCTCCAGCCCCTCATCCATCAACCCAAAGCTCTCCAGCTCCTCCTGGCCGAGCCAGACGGGTGCCAGCAGCGCATCAGGGCAGCTATTGGGGCTGAAGCTGGCGGCACGGAAGCAGCTGGTGATGAGGCCCGGGCGCACGTCACCCCACGCTTGTGCCAGCATGTGCAGGGCATCCAGCAGGGTGGGCGGCTCCGAGCCACGTGCCGCTGGGATCTGGGTCAGCAGCCGGCGCCGGTAGTGGCCCTTCAGGTCCCTGGCGATGCCACGGTGCAGGGGCTGTGCCAGCACGGCCGCGGGAGGAATGAAGACCATCCGGACGTTGGACAGCTGGAGGTAGGGGTGCTCCTCGCGCTCCTCAACGAGCAGCAGGACGCTCTTTCCCTTGCGCTGCATCTCCTCATTGAAGTCCTGCAGCCACTCAGCAAACAGTGTGGCGCTCAGGCGGCCGCCACCGCGGTAACTCCACGGCATGCTCCGCAGGTTGATGCCACGCAGGCACAGGGGATGGGCTGCGCGCCCCACCGCCCGCAGCGCCGCCTTCTCCGAGCCGTCAGCGTTGGTGCAGAGCAGCAGCGTCAGCCTCTCGCCGTCGGCTCTCAGCTGGACCTCAGTCTCCCCACAGCTGTACACCTCCGAGGGCGCGTAGCTGCGCAGCAGCTCGGGCAGTGAGCTCTGGTGCTCGGCCCCACCGTCCTGCGCCAGTGTCGGCTTCTCGAGGGCGACGTTGTGGCGCAGCTTGAAGCGTGCCAGCCAGCTGCCACTGGGCTCGAAGCCCGGCGTGCCCAGCGCCTCAGCCAGGTGCTTGGCCTTCAGCTGCAGCAGCGCGCTGCTGATGGGCAGCTCGGCGGCGCGGGCGCCCTGCACCCACCGCAGCAGAGCAGCCTCCACCGCTCCCTCCTTGCCCTCCCTCTTGCGCTTGCGCTCGGGGTTGCCGTTGCGCTGCCACTCACTCAGGATCCTCTCCTTGTTCTTAATGATGCGGCAGATCTGCGGCTGTGACACTCCGAAGCGCTTGGCCAGCTCGCTCTGGGACACCTTGGGGCCTTCCAGCATCTCCAGCACGCGCACCTTCTCCGTCAGCGACAGCTCCTTGCGCTCCTTGCGGGGCGTCGAGGGCTCCGGGGCCGGGCCTCGGCCGCAGGCACCGCACGGGACCGGGCAGCTCCCAGCCGTGCTGCGCGCCGGCGGCTGCCCCGTGCCGGGCCGCGGTCCAGCCGCGGCCCGCGGCCCCGCCCCGGTTCTCCGCGTGGCGCCGAGGCCGCACTCGGAGCACTCGGGCCCCGGCTGGGTCCCGGCGCTCTCGGTGAGGCTCAGCCCCGCATCGCCCGCACCGGGACCCGGCCCGCGGCCGCCGCAGCGCCGCTCCCACGCCGGCACGGCGCTGGGTTCCTCCCTCCGCCCGTCCTTCTGCAGCCAGCGCCCTGCAGAGACACGGGAGCGTTTTTGAGGCCAAACCTTTCCCGTTTGGCACAATGCCCTCATCCCGAGGGCTCGGGTTGGTGATTCCCGGTCGGCCCGGGCCTTACCGACGGTGCCCAGCTGCTCGCGCTCCTCCTTCATGGGGCCGCACCGCACCGCACCGCACCGCACCGCACCGCACCGCACCGCACCGCACCGCGCGACCCCGGCTGCCGGCACCGGGAGCGCGCACTTAGCCCCGCCCACCCCCCCGCTCCTCTCCTGCCATGCCATTGGGCCGCCGCCGTAGGGTTACGCGCGAGGATTGGCTGCGGGGCGGCCAATCAGAGGCGGGGAAAGCCCCGGGGAGCGGGCGGGCGGGAGAGCGCGCGGAGCGATGTCAGTGATGTGCTGTGACGTCAGATGTGACGTCATCATGGCGTGGTGACAACAGAGTGGTGCGAGTGACATCTGCGATGTGAGGTGACATCACAGCGGTGGGAAGTCACGCTGTAGCAGTGCGGGACGACATCACCAGCGTGCAGTGACATCAGAGCGGTGCAAGCTTGCTTCGCAGCCATGTAGGATGACGTCAGAACGGCGTGTGTGACCCAGCGGTGTGGAATGACACCATGGTGTCGGGCTGACATGGAGGCAGTGCTGTGAGAAGACATCCCAGCAATGTGTGATGACAACAGAGCCATGTGAGATGATGTCAGAGCAGTGCAGTGGGCACAGCACGGCACTGGGCAGAGTGAGAGCAGTGCTGCAGTACTGGGCAGGGAGCTGCAGTGCTGGATGCATGGCTGCAGAACGAAGAGCAGCAGGTCCAGCATCGCTGTGCTGAATGCACTGAGCGTTGTGGCATTGCAGCATTGCAGCAGTGGGCGCAGTGATGTGATGCTGTGTGTTGCAGTGCTACATGCTGCACTGCTGGATGCACGGTTGCGGCACCAGATGTTGCACAGTTGCAGCGTTGCTCTGTTGCAACATAAGCTGCTGCACACTTGCACTGTTGAAGAACAGGCAGTTGTGCTGTTGCGCTGTTGCACAGTTGTAGGGGGGGCTCTTACATTCTTGCAGAGTTGCAGTGTTGCAGAACAGGCTGTTTTGCTACTGCACTGTTGCAGTGCTGCAGTGTTGCATTGCAGAATATTGTGCTGTTGTGCTGTTGCACCGTCTCACTGTTGCAGCTCAGACTGCATTGCTGCACCGTAGCACTGCTGCAGCTCATGCTGTTGCACTGTTGCTCTGTCGCACAGTTGCACTATTGCAGCTCGGGCTGTCACAGCGTTGCACTGTTATGCTGTCACACCATCGTGGCTCAGGCTGCTGCAGGATTGCATTGTCACACTGTTGCAGCTCAGGCTGTCACGCTGGCACAGTGACGCACTGTTGCAACTCAGGCCATTGCAATGACACGCTGTCACACTGTCGCACCGTTGCGGCTCAGGCTGTCACACTGACGCACTGTCGCACTGTCGCGGCTCAGGCTGTCACGCCGTCACACTGCTGTCGCTCAGGCTGTCGCGCCGTAGCGGCTCAGGCTGTCTCCCTGTCGCACTGTCGCGCCGTCACAGCCTCGCTCTGTCGCACCGCCGCGCCGTCGCACGGCGCCATCACGCGCCGACTCCTCCCGGCCGCCAGGTGTCGCCGCGGCCCCACCCCGCCTCTCCCAGCATGCACCGCGCTCGCGCCATGGCCGCTCTGCTCCGCCGCTGCTGAGAGGCGCCGGGCCCGCACCGCCGCCGCCGCCGCCCCGCCCCTCCCCGCCCCGCCCGGCTCCACCCGGCCCCGCTCCGCTCCGCTCCGCTCCTCCGCTCCACTCCTCCGCTCTCGCAGGGCTATGGCCGAGTGGGCCCCCGCTCAGGTAAGTGTTTCCCGCCCCGCTCCGCGCCCGCTCTCCTCCGCCCTCCCCGCTTCCCGCGGAGCCGTCCTGCGGGCCCGGCCCGTCTGCCCACGGCCGTGTGTCCGTCCGTCCCCAGGACCTGGAGTGGGCCATGGAACCCCAGGAGCTGTCCCTGGAACAGCCCTTGGCCGCCCCCGAGGAAGGGCCCGGCGGGGAGGCCGAGCTGCCCGCCGCCGAGATCTCGGTGACGCTGGTGACAGAGGTGCAGGCCGTGGACAGGAAGGTGGAGGCGCAGGCGGCCCAGCTGATGAACCTGGAGGGCAGGATGAGGATGGCCGAGAGCAAACTGATCGGCTGCGAGAGGACGGCTGTGGAGTTCGGCAACCAGCTGGAGAGCAAATGGACGGCCCTGGGCACCCTCATCCAGGAGTACGGGCAGCTGCAGAAGAGGCTGGAGAACATGGAGAACCTGCTGAAGAATAGGAACTTCTGGATCCTGCGGCTGCCCCCCGGGGCCAAGGGGGAGGTCCCCAAGGTAACGGGGCCATGAGCCATGTCAGAGACCTCTGGGCTGTGTCAGAGACCTCATCTCACCTCTGTGAGGTGGTGGCAAGGTGGGGTCAGCCTCTGCTCCTGATAGGATGAGAGGTGATGGCATCGCACCATGGCTGCTCGTGGCTAGATATGAGGAGGAAGTTTTTCCGCCAGAGGGTGGTGGGCACTGGAACAGGTTGCCCAAGGAGGCTGTGGATGCCCCATCCCTGCAGGCACTCAAGGCCAGGCTGGATGTGGCTCTGGGCAGCCTGGGCTGCTGGCTGGCAACCTGCACACAGCAGGGGGTTGGAGCTGGATGAGCATCGTGCTCCTTTGCAACCCAGGCCATTCTGTGATTCTGTCATGTTGTGCCAGGGAAGGATCAGGTTGGGTATTAGGAACCATTTCTTCTCAGAAGAGCAGTTGGGCTCTGGCACAGCTGCCCAGGGAGTGGAGGGGGGAGGGAGGGTGTCATCGTCCTTGAGGGTGTTCAAGAACTGTGAGGATGTGACATTGTGACATAGAGGGATGTGGATTGGTGAGTGTGGTAGTGAAGAGCTGGAGTTGGACGTGGGGATCCCAGAGGTCTTTTCCAACCTCAGTGATTCTGTATTGTGATACAGAGCTTGTGCTTCGACCACAAGTTGTACCAGAGGAGGTTTAGGTTGGACATGAGGAAGAACTTTTTCTTTCAAAGAGTGATCAGGCACTGGAATGGCTGCACAGGGAGGTGGTGGAGTTGCCATCCCTGGCAGTGTTCAAAAGGTGTCTGGATGAGGAGCTGTGAGATCTGGTGTAGTGCTTGTGGTGCTTGTAGTGGTGGTGATGGGAGGACGCTTGGACTGGATGATCTTGCAGGTCGTTTCCAACCTTGTGTTTCTGTGATTCTCTAATGCAGATTCCCAATACTGTAGGAGTTGAAAGAGGCCTCTGCAGCTCCCCCAGTCCAACCCGCCCGTAATGCAGGTTCCCAGAGCAGGGTGCATGGGGAAGTGTCCAGAGGGTTTTGAGTATCCCCAGAGGAGATTCCACCACCCATCTGGGCATCCTGTGCCAGAGCTCTGCCACCCTCAAACTGTAGAAACTCTTCCTCACGATCAGGCAGAGATATGTGTCTATGTTCCCATTTATGCCCATTGCCTCTTGTTGTGTTGCTGAGCACTGCTGAAAAAATCCTGGCCTCGTTCCCCTTACCCGTTAAACGCTTATATGCACTGATGAGATCCCCTCTCAGCCTTCTCTTCTCCAGGCTGAAAAGCGCCAGGGATCTCAGCCTTTCCCTGTAAGGCAGTTGCTCCAGGCCCCAGCCACTGTGGATGATGAGCACGCAGCTCATCTGCTGGTTGGGAACACCAGCACAGGTCCTTCAGTGTGGCTGCACACCCCTGTGCATGTGCAGCTGGTGCTTGACCCAGCACACGGATGGGTTGCTGTTTGGGTCAGGCAGAGGGACACGATGTGGGTTGTCCCCACATCCCTGCCCGTATTTGCACGTGCACTCCCAGTTCTTGTTCAGAGGAGACTGCAGCAGAATTATGTCCAAAACTGAGCAGGAATTGTGGTGTATGATGTGCAAAATCCGTTGTCTGAAGCATGGGGAGATTGAATCTGGTGAGGGGTCTGGAACACAGGCCATATGAGGAGAGGCTGAAGGAGCTGGGAATGTTCAGCCTGGAGAAGAGGAGGCTCAGGGGAGACCTCATTGCTCTCTATAACTTCCTGAAAGGAGGTTGTAGTGAGCTGGGGGTCGGCCTCTGCTCTCGTGTCATCAGTGATAGGACCAGGGGGAATGGTTTCAAGCTACGGCAGGGGAGATTCAGGCTGGACATGAGGAAGTATTACTTTTCAGAAAGGGTGGTCAGGCACTGCAATGGATGCCCAGGGAGGTGGTGGAATCACCGACCCTGGGGGTGTTCAAGGAAAGACTGGATGTTGTGTTGAGGGACATGGTTTAGTAGGAGCTATTGGCAATAGGTGAACGGTTGGACTGGATGATCTTGAAGGTCTTTTCCAACCTTGGTGATTCTATGATTCTATGATTCTATGAATAGGGGGGCAAGGCTTAGGCAGGTGGTGGGGGAAAACATCATATCCCTTCACTGAGCTGACAGAGCCGAGTTGAGAGCTGAGCCAGGTGTATGGGGGTTAGAATGAGAAAACATCCTTGCATGTTTTCAACAAGAGGCCCTTGGATCCAGAGGAGGCCACAAAGATGCTCAGAGCTTGGAGCACTTCTTCTATGAAGATGGGCTGAGAAGCCTTGGGGTGTTCAGCTTAGAGGGAAAAAAGGCTCCAGGGAGACCTGTTGTGGCCTTTCTAGTACATAATGGAGCTTATAAATGGGAGGAAAAGAGACTTCTTGTAGGGGCAGATCGCTACAGGACAAGGGGGAACGGCTTTAAACTAAAAGAGAGGTGATTTAGGTGGGATGGTAGGCAGGGATTCTTTACCCAGCGGTGATGAGGTGCTGGCACTGCCCAGAGCTGTGGTGCTCACCCCTGCAGGTGCCCAAGGCCATGGCTGGGCCCCGGGCAGCCCAAGCTGTGGGACAGCCAGCCCACGGCAGGGTGGGTGGAATTTGATGCTCTTTAGAGTCCTTTCTCACCTGAGCTTTTCCATGAAAACAGCTGAATATGTGGTGCTTCTAATTGCAGGTCCCCATGGCGTTTAACGACACCTCATTTAGCTTCTCGGAGGACGAGTGGAAGAACTTGAACGAGTGGCAGAAAGAGCTTTACAGGCATATCATGAAGGGCAACTACGAGGCCGTGATCTCGATGGGTAAAGGCTGGCTGGGGCTCCCCCT